TCCAGCTCTTTTTTTTTTTTTTTGGTAATAGGGAAAAAATCTAGACCCAATAGTAAAAAGATTTATCACTTTTATTGACAATTTTCATGCAAAACAAAGTCAAACGAATGGTATTTGATATGGTATTTTTTTTTTTTTTTTTTTGGGCAAGTTAAACAAATTCTAGATTCAATGGTAAAATAAATTATCATTTTAAAGGACAATCAAACACAATTAATTACAATTCCCAATAAATAATTTCTAGGCAAACTAGAATTCATTTTCTTTCCACCAATTTTCCACATTTGCAATCAAACGGACTCTTAGGGTAGCGTGTCCATATCCGACACGAGTTGATACCAACACTTCTCAGACATTTTACAGTAAATAATTTTTCTTTTTATATTAAAAATATTATATACTGTTAATTCAAAGTTATTAGCAAATAACAAATAGGAATTCATGTTTAAAAGATTTCAACAAGAAGAATTAATAACAAGTATAAAACTAAATTTATACTATATAAATAAAGAATTTTTATGAATTTAATCAATATATCGATGACGTGTCGTGTCTGTACTTTTTTTAANTAGTATATAAATGAAGAATTTTTAAAAATTTAATCGACTTGTCATGTCTGTACTTTTTTTAAAAATCACCTGTCAGCGTATCTAACGCGTATCGTGTCGAACACAAGTATCCGTATCGGTGCATCATAGCAGATATCGAGCTTCACAATAAAAATGGTCGAAAATGGATCTAGATAACAATATTTTTGTTAAGTATTTTTACTATACAGGAAATATTGTAAGGTTTTCGAAATGCTTCTTTAGTAGCAAGGAAGAATTAAGAGAACCGATACGTTTCATAGAGGGAAATGGCTCTTGTGAGTTCCATCCATGTATTTAATATGTTAACGAAGTTATAATAAAAAATATAATTTGTTACCAGAACTACTTATGACATTTATTGGAAGAAAAGGCACTCACAACATTTTTATTTGGTTATTTCAATGTCGATGTTGTTTAAGATTATTTTTTGGTAAGCCTATGTTCAATTCGACAAAGTGAAAACATTATTTTGTAGCTTTTCTCTCCTCATCTTCCATGGCAACCACTAGTCATGGCCCAAATTCCCGATTAAAACAGCTCCAGTAAGACTCCCACATATACCAATTAACCCCTCTACCAAAACCTAAACACGAAACCTGCCTTGTCTACCAATCATTTTTCTTGCCAAATGCAATGTTTGGCACAAATTCATACCTATATTCACGGCTTTTTTTCCACTGTCCTCTAACCTCAGAATTCTTGCAAGCATAGGTTCTTATCCGAACTTCTTCTCCAAAACTAATTATTATAGCACCATATTCTTCCATCTCGTATTTTATTCTCTTTTTTTATCCCATACAACACCTCTCTGTTCGTTATCACTCTGTCTAAGATATGAATATTTGGGGGAATCATGAGAACAGATATTTAAGAAAGCTTTGTCAAATTAAAGTTTACTATAAACTTTTCTTGAATAAAGAGTAAAATATATATTTTTGGTTCGTTTATTTGTGTTATAATATAGCAGGCATAAACCCTTCAAGATAAACAATTATTAACTCCTCTAACAAAAGGATTGTTCATAAAAACGTAAACGAGGCATCAAGAAAACCAAATCCTAAAGTAAGGTCACAATAATCCATCAATTTTCAGCCATGATCACCACCAAAACAAACCCCAATACTCTTATTCAACTAGGAAAAAAAAGGAACCCTCAGAACCAAAAGATCACATCGCATATACACCAAAATATTATATATGTGTATATGCATGTAATTTGCAAAAAAAAAAAAAAGCAAAAACATAAAATAAAGTATTGAACTTTATTGAATTCACACGGGGTTTTTTACCTGAAACTTTCTTGGGTTCTTCAAGAAATTTTTTTGGTTGCAAGATTGAGAGAATTTAGAGAGAGAACGTTTTTCGGACAGATAAATAATGGACGGGTCTTTGGTTTGTGCGACTTACGTTTCCAGGTATATTAATACGAGGAATGAATTATTAATAATTTTAGAAAATTATAAGGTCAAGGCACAACATTTAATCCACAAAAAACATCACACTGACGTTTTCAAAAAAACTCCCGAACGTTATCCATTAAAGAATTTGATAGTGCCAGTCCATGATTTTCTATTGTCAAACTTATGAAACACTTATTAAGGAAGTGTTCGATAGAGATTAAAATCGGATTAAAATTGAAAAATTAGTCGTTATTGTTGACTTTTATTAGACGAGTGGGACCCAATGACGATTATATTTTCAATTTTAATTAAATTTTAACCACGATCAAACACGTCCTAAGAATAAAGTACAACTTGGCATTGCATTGAGGGTGTGGCAGAGTTATAAATGGAGCGTTTTATGACAAAATTTGAGGCAGTGGGGCCAATCCGCACGAGAGGGGATCGGATGATTGAGACTGGCTTTTTCACATCGTATTGGTCACTGTTAGGCCAAAGTTAACTTTTCTTCTTGCCTTGAACTATCATTTGAGCCATTGAACTGTTAGAAAACTATCATTTTACTCCCTGAATTTATATAACATATCAAATTGATCCTCGCATTGGGTTTCTAATTTTTCCACATTTTGTTAGATTTTTATCACCCCAAATTAATTTAAAACAATGTTGAAGTTGCGAGAAATTTTGCTTTTTTTTTTTACCACATTAAAAGTACAACAAAAAAATTACGACATCGATTCTTGTCCACACACTATGGGAAAAAATTGCGACATTTATCATTTTGATCAGAGGTAAGCAAATATATAAATGGTTTATAAATAAAAATGACAGTGGATTCCACAAAATGTATGAATAAAAGTAATAATTATGAATTTGCGGTTGAAATTAATATATAAATTGGTTTGCCAAACGGAGGCTACATAGAGGAAGAGTAAACGAGCAAACATAAGATCCCTTTGGATTTATTTTAATTCTATTTTGTGTGTATTATTTGTTTAAAGTGAATTAAAAAAAAAATGTTGTGTCAAACAATTAACTTTTCTTTAATGGGGTTTGTTTTACGGTTTTTGTATTTCACAAAATTAATTAACCAACGGAATATTAACCTTTCTTTAAATAATACAAGGCAATCTATGCAAATTGACTAAAGCCCCTTGACATTTTGTAGAAAAATAATAATATAAAATTACTAAAAATAGTACGCGTGATTTAGTCAACTTGACTTCAAGTGGTGGATATAGCATATTTCTCAAGTTAGTTATTGTGCAAATAGCACGGAAAGAGGATTTATGTTCTCTAAATGATTAATGGTGGTCACATCTTCTATTATTTATTAGTAGTAGGAACCATGAATGCTTTTAATTACACATTTTTTAATAAAATAATATTATATACAGATACAAAACTTTTATTTATTTTTTAACCACACATTCTCCATCAATCTACTATTCCAAAATGCATTCTACAAAAAAAAAGCATGATTGTCGAATTCGATGACTGCATACATATTATCCCTTCTCAGATTTTTGGGGAATAATTTCATTTTATGGGAACACAACTTACTAAAGTCGACTAAGCACCTCCTTGGTGTGTTGTACGAGCACCTTAATATTGTGCTTGTTTTTGTTTATGTATTCTGGTTGAATTGTATTTTCGAGTATAATATCAAGGAGATATGTGATAAAATTACAAAGGTTTCTTGTTGGTATCGTTTTTGGTGAACATTCCTAATATGTTCGCTATTTTCATATCCACTTGTGTTTCGAATTTGGCAAAAGAATTGACTTTATACTATTACCTTTTCAAAGTTCCCCATATAGTTTTCACTACTTTTAAAAAAGAGACGATTTTGAGTTTGATTTTGATAGGCAACATACAAATAATTCTTAGCCTCCGTTCGGGAGCCATTCTTTCTTCAAATAATACATTTTTCCTTTCACATCAAGAGGGGTTCATGGCTGGAAAGAGACACAAAAAAGTGTGATTTGACACAAA